TTTGGCAACTCGAACCTTCAGCTCCCTCCACGGATTTTTTATGGGATTAAGGTCTGGAGACTGGCTAGGCCACTCCAGGACCTTAATGTGCTTCTTCTTGAGCCACTCCTTTGTTGCCTTGGCCATGTGTTTTGGGTCATTGTCATGCTGGAATACCCATCCACGACCCATTTTCAATGCCCTGGCTGAGGGAAGGAGGTTCTCACCCAAAATTTGACGGTACATGGCCCCGTCCATCGTCCCTTTGATGCGGTGAAGTTGTCCTGTCCCCTTAGCAGAAAAACACCCCCAAAGCATAATGTTTCCACCTCCATGTTTGACGGTGGGGATGGTGTTCTTGGGGTCATAGGCAGCATTCCCCCTCCTACAAACACGGCGAGTTGAGATGATGCCAAAGAGCTCCATTTTGGTCTCATCTTACCACAACACTTTCACCCAGTTGTCTTCTGAATCTTTCAGATGTTCATTGGCAAACTTCAAACGGGCATGTAAATGTGCTTTCTTGAGCAGGGGGACCTTGCGGGCGCTGCAGGATTTCAGTCCTTCACGGCGTAGTGTGAGATCTTGCATGGAGCCCCAGGCCGAGGAAGATTGACAGTTCATTTGTATTTCTTCCATTTGCGAATAATCGCACGAACTGTTGTCACCTTCTCACCAAGCTGCTTGGCAATGGTCTTGTAGCCCATTCCAGCCTTGTGTAGGTCTACAATCTTGTCCCTGACATCCTTGGAGAGCTCTTTGGTCTTGGCCATGGTGGAGAGTTTGGAATCTGATTGATTGATTGCTTCTGTGGACAGGTGTCTTTTATACAGGTAACAAGCTGAGATTAGGAGCACTCCCTTTAAGAGTGTGCTCCTAATCTCAGGTCGTTACCTGTATAAAAGACACCTGGGAGCCAGAAATCTTTCTGATTGAGAGGGGGTCAAATACTTATTTCCCTCATTAAAATGCAAATCAATTTATAACATTTTTGACATGCGTTTTTCTGGATTTTGTTGTTATTCTGTCTCTCACTGTTCAAATAAACCTACCATTAAAATTTTAGACTGATCATTTTTTCGTCAGTGGGCAAACGTACAAAATCAGCAGGGGATCAAATACTTTTTTTCCCTCACTGTATAACAGGAGTGCGAATTCTGCCCTACACAAGCATGCTATATATAGGCCCTGGGTAGTTAAAAAAACATCTGTAAATTCCAGTGAGCTTTTTCCGCAGGCAATACGGTGTAACCCATATCCCATATACCCTGCCCTGGGATGGGCCCCAGGGTTGGCAGTTTGATGCGGGGAATTTGCAACGCGTGGGCGGCCAAAATGATACGGCATCAAAGCGTGACACGCTGTACCATGGCAGAGAGCAATCTGGGCTTGGCGGTATAGACACTCCCCTCTGCAACAAAATGGCCTCCAAACAGGGAGCACGGTTCCCAGGTTTCCATTTTCCTGAGATGTTCACCTGATATTACCTCCACCCACACCACGGTTTGGCTATATCAGTCAACCAGACGTCTTCCACTGAACTGTGGCATTCAGTGCGTGCAACATGCGTGTCCCCGTTAGCGTCTCTTGAGTAGAGCTGGGATATTTTATTATTTAAGTGCAGTGTAATCGATTGCCCTACGGATTGTCGGTTTGATTACACGTGTGCCGCTGAACGGGAGGTGATGGGTGGTGGCTTGGTGATTTTATCGGTAACTTGTAGGGGGTTTCTGCCTTTGAGAGATGGTTGGATAATGGGGAGGCTACCATTTTTAAAGGAGCTCAAGTACCCCAATCAACTACATCAAAAGTGGCCAATTGCAAAGTTTTAGTCGAATATTCGGCTTAATCTACTAATCGACCCAGCTCTGGTCTTGAGTTATCCTATGTGTGGGTTTTCCGTAGCTTCTGCGGTTTCCTACCACGTGAAAAAATACTCATTGGAAATTAATTTGGCAATTATCCCAACGCAGTGTCCTCTTGAAAAAAGTATCTTCACACTCACTGAGAGTTGTTTTATTTTTCCAACATAAATAGTGTGAATTAAATGGACACCATATTTAGATATTTTCAAAGCATATTCTGATCATTTCAAGTGATATTTCTACAGCTGTGGCTGCAGTAATGACTCAGTCCTATAACTCGTGTGTGTTCTAGATGATTTATCGACGCAACATCAGGACTAATTCTTTCCATAAGTGAACTCAAGTTTGTCCTACGCTTGCTATTGGCACAGGTGGTGCATAGGCCAGTAATCTCAGTCAGTCGACCCATGGCGCCTTGGTCTGTCCCGTGACCTCCTGCCAGCGGGCGTTCGACACTTCACGTGGCCTTCACGTGCACAAAGCCTGGCACAAGCGCCGTCGTGACGTCACCGCCACTTAGTGGCGAATGGCGGTTGTTGTTGTTGGGCATTGTAAGTTGTACATTTGTACTTTTTTTATTGGCTGAATTAACCAACAGGCTTATAAAATTAACCCCCACCACCAATCATCATTTGGAAATTGGATTAAAAAGTTAGGCTCTGAGAATAGGTTTTCCCCTTTTTTCTGGCAACAAAACAGGTGTTAAGATATTCTTGGTTCTTTCGGTAAAGTCACGTAGAAGGGAAACAACAAAAGCTGTTAGACCAGAGGACGCCAAAAGGCGAACAGCCCAAAGAAAGCTGTCTCTGGTGTGGACCAATCCGTTTCAAAGACAATGCATATATTATCAGAGTTTTTTTTGTCTGCATTGCTGTCAATGCAGACGTGATTCCTTGTAAAAGGTTTCAGTTTGGTGTTTTAACATCTTAACACCTGTTTTGTTGCCAGAAAAAAGGGGAAAACCTATTCTCATATTTTGGTACTGGCAAAGGAGGTCCCATGAAGTTGGACTCTGCTCAAATCTTATTCAAGTCAAGTCCCAGGCACCAGGCAGCTCTTGTCACAAGTAATGATATAGTAAAGTCGGCTTGATATTTTTCGTGGTTTAGCAGCCAACCACGAGGGTGACAGGTTTCACCAAGTAATCTTTTGGATTTGCCAAAAGTTGCGACGTGCTATTCAAAAGGCTTAGATTTGGTTTGCTTCCGTTGTGTGACCATACACTTCATTTTTAGTGACTCCACATCTTCATGAGATAATTAATCTGTAAGCCATTCCCAATACTGTAGAAACATACAAGATAGTATTGTGGAAAAAAACAATGATGTGATGCTTTCATTGAAGTTTGACTTGCACTGATCTTGAAACAAGATTCAGATTCGACCTCAAAACTGCTCTATATGCATGTATTCACACGATCTGACTCGCACCGTGATTTAAAACCGAAGCCTAATTTGATAATGTAATTATACTTAATATGATTAATCTACACGGAGAATTGTCCTGCAATTTTAAAACACATCTGCAATATTTGTGGAAAGTAATCTATATTTGCCCAATGTTCATGGAAGGTGGTTCATTATGAGCAATTATTGCTTTGTATTAACGTTCATCAATTACATCACATCTTGTATGGATACTACTGTTAATGATTGTTCCCATTTCAGAGCCTGACAAATTCAGGGCACATTTGATCATACAGTACAGAGTTGGGTGCCATGAAATATATAGTATACAGTTGATCATTTTAGACCAAGTCACCCTCCAGGGGAGGGTATCGCCAAGTACAAACAAAACTGGATTTAGAGAAGTTTTAGATTAACTTTTATTTTCTATTTAAACAAATTCTTCACAATGTGGGTGTATGGACATTTTAAAGATTTGGGAAATTCTAAAGAAATGTTTTTTTGTTCAGGGCACATTTATTTATTTAAATTAGGATTTTATGAAACAACAACAACATAGGGCCCCTTAACAACGTTTTAGGTGACAGAGAAACCGGCCAGGGACAATCTCGGGCGGAGGAGGCCCTCAGACCCGACGCGACCGGTCTATATAAGACGAATGTAGGGGGGTAGTGCCAGGCCTGCAGGGGAAACGAATCGGCGGTGAGGAAGGGGGGCGGCACATTTCATGTGTTAGAGGTGAATTCTACGAATTTTCGGTTTGAGGTAAATTACCACAGAACGCACACGGTGGAAAGCGGTGAGCTGTTTGACAGAGTTTAGGCACAATTCATCGCACGCATCTCTTTCGGGAAAAATAAACTTTGTTCAAAGCAAACATTAACCAAAATATATGAAGAATAATATTTACACGCCATGGGCTGTTCGCGGGCATTTGCAACTTTAAAAAGTCGATTTGTTTGGCCGATTGTGTAATTGCGGATAATTATCGAGCGGATAATTGTTGAGCACTTAAGGTGTTGGAAGAGTGTGGGGGGGTCGGCAACACAGCGAAGCGTGCTGCTAATTTTGTGCTGCTAATTTTAAGCGCACATCTAAAATGCACAACACAGCCCTTCGCTTTTAGGGGAGGGCACACATTCTCAGCCTGAAATTCTCCACCACATTACAGCTGTTTATGCAGACGGTGGAAAGGCAAAGGGGAGGGGAGGCTCAGAGGGGAGGGTAGTTGGAGGGGGTGAGTGGGAGGGGGGGAGAGAAGCTCAGCAGCTGAGCGGTGGAAAACATTGTGGGAGGAGAGTGAGCACGACGAGACGGGAGAGGGGCACGTGAGGAGGAGGAGGAGGAGAGAGAAGCAGTCAAAAATATTCTTACCTCGGGCAAAGTGGCCGTTTCAATAGCGTGTTTATGAGGCTTCGATGTGCACACAAGACGGCCTGTCTGCCGCAACGTACTCGGGAAGTTGTTGAATTTCACTTTTTTTTCAAGCTCGTTTTTTCACCCCCTTTCTCGCTACGAATGTTACTTTCCGCTCAAAGCGGCCGAAGCTAGTGGCTGCGGCATAGTTCAACGCCTCCTTGCAAATTCAGGTTTGTTCCGAAATGTTTGGAATCTCAAATAAATATTAAACTTCCTTTCGTGCTTGCACAACGCTGCCAACACAGTTCCTGACTTTTAGTTTTTGTATACGATTTTAAATTAGTTCAGTTGTTGCTGTGTGGTTTTTTTACATTTGTGTTTCTTTACCCAGGGCCTCAACATCGGCAAGAGCGATGAGTTTCAACAAAGCTCACCGCTACGGCCGGCAAGTCAATGGGACTCACTCGGATAATGGCATCACTGTAAGCGCTCCACGGAAATTCTTTACTTCACTTTCTTGCACGTCTTCTATTTATGATGGCATAGATGAGCGTAATTTGCATATATATTTTGGATCACATGGGTGACTCCCTCAAAGAAAAACTAGTTCTTATGAAATGTGGATGGGTGTTGCGATGGTAGGATTGAATAGCTTAATTAGAATGGTGAAATCCCAGTTGCGAGTTAAACTATTTTTTTATTTTTACCACGTAAGGCCCACTGAGCTATACAGCTCTTTGTCAGAAGCGACCTGGCCACAAATGAAAGCTCAACGGAAGTGGATTATCACCACGTGGAAATGTTGGCCCAGTCCATCATTAACCTGGGAGTGCATTAGCATGAGACTGTACCAGATTGTGAAAAGTCAACTGCAGCTGTCTTTAGGGGAGACTAGCTCCCCTGCCATCGTAATGTGGATTTTCCAGCACTGAATATGGACCATTTAAAGGATATTGGCGTTGCCCCAAAAACTCATTTAACTTAAGTCGTGATAAAAAAAAACTGACATTTGAATCCCATGCCTATAATTTTTGAGATGTAATAGCCAATCGCATTCGATTTATTAAAGTGGCTTGATTCTACCTAAACAAGAGGTACTTGCTTACTAGGAGTGTAACAATGTATCCATTCATCATTTAGTAATTATTAAGGTTCATCAGTCACTCATCACGGCAAGTGTTTTTTTTATTATCCACAAATGATATGCTAACGTTACATTTAAGCAAAGGGAGCTGGACACCACGATACAAATACAACTGTACAAATTAGACCAAAAAATTATAAGCGTTTAAATGACATTCCTCGTCTGAATCGCCACGATAATAGTCGCCAGGGGGTGAATATTTCCACTGCTCGAGCTTGCCTACTTGTGTCTAGCGCAGCGCGCGAGTGCATCCACGTTGGCAGCTGTGTGTGATACACGTTATTTGTTTCCACAGTCGCCCATGGATTCCTACAGCTCTGGCTTCAGTGGCTCAGTAAATGCCAGCAAATGTAAGTCCTCCTCGTTTCACCAGATTCGTCCGGTTTATTGTTTCATCCGCAGTTGCTTCCAGGAAATCGTCTACGATGCACGATGACACGTAGGTGTAGTGTGGGCTCCCCAGCATGTACCGCAGATTGTCACACAGCCGTATTAACCCTTTTCCGTTTCCGAGACATTTGCAAGTTGCAGAGCGTGGGGTCCCGTTCACCGCTGAATCTCGGAACGTGCAAGCAGTTCGCGTTAATTTTATTTAGAGGCATAATGACGCTGTTTTTAAAAGACATTGTACTCACCGCAGAGAACTGTAGCGACACGACCGCACTCTATGACAGCTGGTGTTAAACTGTGCCGCATGCCCACTTCCCGCATGGCCTTTTACTCCCGAATCGATTCGATTCCGTTTGGAATCAATTTCGTAGCGATGAAGTAAACATACGTAATTGGAACGTAATCGGAAGAAAAACTGATAACCTACACACTTATGTACGTCATCGGAACGGAAAAAGGGTTAAGAGCTAATGCATTGTTATTTATCCCCCTCCCACAACCCAAAACACCAGCATTACAGAGGGAGATACAAATCGCGAACATGTCTCGAACCCAGAATAATACACCCCCAAATGGGGGGGGGGGGGGGGCGTCTGGAGGCGCTTGGGCTCACTGCCCTGCCGCTGTAGGGGGCAACGATCGGGAGCCTAAAGCTACTGGGCATTCTTTACAGCAGTGACATCAACGGCATCAGAACATATTACCAAGTCGATGTGCACATCTCTTTCATAAGTGGGACAATTGCAGAAGTCGCAGTGGGATTTGTGGCCATGTAACCCAAACTGTGGACCATATAGGAAATCACTGTAGTCTGTGCTGCTTCACTGGAGGAATCGCATTCGGCAGTTAGCAGGACAAAGTGTACACAGAAAAGTTTTAACTGGTGCTGAAAGCTCTAATCTCTGCACCCTTTGAGTGGCGAGGGGGGACACTTTGTAGTCGTTATCTGGGTCATGGGAATGTGTCCCAGCGAAATTATTAAATGCTGTCATCAGCCTGGACGGGATCCTTCCACGGATGCGCCCACTGTGCCGGCTGGGACAGATGGATTTAGCCTCCTCGTGTTATTCCAACAAAGCAAATATTGGCCCAAAGCAAATGATGACTCCAACAAGGTTTGGTCTCAACTGTTCCTGTGATGGCCTAGAAATTCTTCCTTACCGTTCAAGGCAAACGTGCCAGATTATTTGATTAAATTATTCGTTATTTTGCTCCCGACCAATTTTGTTTCTACCCCGATTACGCTGTGGACGTCACAGCGGGAGACGATGATGCACCCATTTATATCGCTTGTGGAGGAGTTGCGAGCCTTCTGCGTTTATAGGCAGTCTCAAAGCAAATAGTAAAATATAAAAGGTGAACCGTAACACAACACGCCACGTCTACTGTAAAACTATTTATTTATTTCCTATGGAATGTGCACAGTTGCCCATTTGCATCTTGACAAAATGGACAATGGCTTGGGTGGTTTTGCCCTGCTGCAGGTGATAAACACAATGGTATGTTTTCGCCAAAAATCAGAAGAACGAAACACCGAATGTTGATTTTAGGTGTTTAGGTGGAAGTACAGCAAATAGATTTACTGGGCAAAATTGTAAGCACTTTTGGTGTCCATTCTTTGCATTTGTGGGTTTTCCTTAAAAGTGGAAACTTAGCAAGCTCACATAGGAGCCTTTTGCAAATAAGCAGTAACTCTTGGAAATCGCTGAGGTTTCCCTGGTTACATTCAGGGGGTATTATTATTACATAAGGGTGTGCGAAAAACCACGTTGAACAAGCACTTGGTGTAGATAAGAGCCCCATTGAAGAGAGTCCAGGAATAGATGTGTGATGTCGTCTTCTGGAGCTGTGCCCCCTGGCATGATGCGACGGTCAGACTGAGGGAATTCCAGATGGAAATGTCTTCGACTCATGACAAGACGCCGACTTCATAATTGAAGTACAGGGTGATCCATTGATAGATAACTCCACTAAAACAAAAGGGAGAAATGACGGGTATTTGTGTATACTATCTATTCATTCAAAGGCTCTGTGTCTCCAACGAATCGAAGGAGGATTCATATCCCTGCAGTCACAAAAGCTTTAAATCGAAAAATCGGAGGATTATTAAACACTATCAGATGGTGCTGTGTTGGCAGTGGTGTGCGCAAGCACACATTTACAAAAAATCTCAATACGTCCGTCAATAGCACTGCATATAAAGAAGCACATAGATATAATAGGCAACGTTTAAGGCAATACAAAAAACTTTAACTCTTATCCATTACAACTTTTAATCGTGCTGTTTTGTTGCTGGCCACTTGTTGTTTTGGGCATTTGGGCCCCGTGCTCGGCAACTGTGATTTCACAATGTATCTCTGCTGGCTCCATTCCATCGGTCTCGCCTTTGATATCGGAGAGATCAGCCATTGGACGAATGGCGTCCGTGTGTTGAGAACTGGCCTTCCACCCTCACGTCTCCCCCCCCCCCGTCCTCCAATGTCAGACGGCACACTTCGGTGAGACGGCAAGTCTGGGATGGAGGATGTCTGTAGGTGGACTGGTGGTTGATTTATAGACATTGTGAGATTTTAAAAGGGGGAAGGAGTAATTTGCGGAATGTTGGAGCCAATGTGCTTTCGTGACCAAATAATATATAAAGAACTAATCGCAGGAATGAGGTTTTGAGGCTTTTTGTTTTTCTACGTTAAACAGTCATTGCCCGCATACCCTTACAATCCATTCTGTTTCACGAGACCACGGGTTTGAGTCTTAGCAGAAGGGGTGGACCTGGTGGACAAAGTTCACCCCTTCTGGTGTTCGATGATTGTTGTGAATTGGGGTAATCATCTCATTTAAACATTCAGGCCTCAAGGGCAGTCTCCAGCTGTAACCAACTTTCTCTCTCTCTCGCGCCTCTACGTGCTACGAAGAAGGGCCATTGGGCAAAAAATGTTGCCTGTGATATATTTATTTTTCCTTTTAAGGCCACAGTGTTATTGGCGAATGTGTAGAGTTTTCTTTTTGATTCAACATTCTATTCTCTTGGTGAATTTCAGCACCTCTCGTGCCGTGACTCCATTGCATACAACAATACAGTAAGGTCTCGGAGTACGTGGGCTCGGAGTACGTGGACCCGCTCATACGCGACCGACCCCGATTCCTACTTGCACTTGTGACTCGTACTTTCGCTACACGCATGGGGCTGGAAGCGAGGAGTCAAATCTCACCCCCCTGCCATCACGCAGACGTGGATTTGACGGCGTGTAACTCTATGGCCTGCGCGAGAAACAAGTCCACCCAGCATGCACTTATCATATATAAATTATTCGTCAATCATTTGCTGTACAGTACTGTACTTTATTAAACATTTCTGTACATTTGCATACATTTGATATCACTTGTAACATTGTATATGTACACTCGTATAGACGAACCCCAACTTACGGGAGTTCTTTGCGCTGACGCGGGGGTACACGGAACCTCACCGCCCACGTACCCTCAGACCTTGCCGTAGACAAATCTAAAAAACACGTTGATTCTCGCCCACGCCGTTCGACGTGCGTCTCGTGCGCTTAAAAATCCGCATTAAGCAACGGATCGGTCCACCCCAGTTTTAAAGGGATGAAGTTGTATTTATTGTTTTTGAAAAGAAGCAACGGTTGCCTATGTGTACAGCGTCAGGCTCATTGAGAGGAGAGCCTCTCTGGCTATTGGGGTAACTATAATGATGTAACAGTGATAACAATCTGATTTGATACTGCCTCTCCCTCTTCTTCGTAGCACTTGAAGCTTTTTTTTTGCGTAAGTAGGGATAACGTCTGCTAGCAAGCAGCTGACATACCACATGACGGGCTGGCGTTACCGGCACCAAACTGAATGCATTCCTTTATCAGGCTAAACAAGGATCTTTGTTCGGCAATTGTGTAGGTTCCTAGGCCTCCCTGAGGCCAACTTAGCCTTACATGAGTACCTGGTGCGGTGTGTCAACATCAGTGTTGGTGTGGTGATGCCCACACCAACTCGTTTACCGTGCCGGCCCTCATAGGTGCTACTCGCACTTGCCCCAAAAGTATGTTAAGCCTATACGGGGGATCTTTGTCTTTGCGTATTTTTACCTCGTGCTCTCGTTTACAAGATTTAACAGGGGTCTTTGCCATTGTACGTTCATATGTGTTTATGCATATAACTTTATATGCGTGTCATACATTCGTCCACATATATGTGTGTGTGTGCGCATGTGTGTATATGTACACAATATTTGGTTGCCAAGCAATTTTACATGGGGGCAACCAGACCCCCCCAGCCGTTGGGAATGACCTCATGCGGGGACTTGGCAGTTCCTTGGCCACCCCCCTCTCGTGCAGCCCCTTGTCTGGGCCACGCTTGTGCCAAAAGGTCACGAGCACGAGTTCCCACCCAGAATGAAAACGGTTGCACGCCGACGTAAGTGTGAGATCGAGCTGCGTGCACGTGCAACCTTAAAACCACCCCGGTCGTCATGCGTGTACGTTGAACCTCTTTCGCACCGTGCCTAGCCAAACCCGTGCCAACCGGAGGTGCGGATCCCTGTAAAATAACTGCGTGAGCAAATGGCCCCTCAATGCTCGGGAGATTCCGGCGAATTACACTTGGGTGGGAGACTGCCTAGGGAATACTGTGTTGTCGTCTGTGTGGAAGACTGCCTAGGGAATGCTGTGTGTTGTAGTCTGTGTGGGAGACTGCCTAGGGAATGCTGTGTGTTGTAGTCTGTGTGAGAGACTGCCTAGGGAATGCTGTGTGTTGTAGTCTGGGTGGGAGACTGCCTAGGGAACACTGTGTGTTGTAGTCTGGGTGAGAGACTGCCTAGGTAATACTGTGTTGTAGTCTGGGTGGGAGACTACCTAGGGAATACTGTCTGTTGTAGTCTGGGTGGGAGACTGCCTAGGGAATACTGTGTGTTGTAGTCTGGGTGAGAGACTACCTAGGGAATACTGTGTGT